AAGGGGACAAGATGAACCATGACATCTGAAGAGGAGGTACAGGATATTGTGAAGTGCCTAGGCACAAGTCTTTCCCAAAGAGGTGAGACTGGAGGGTTTTCTTGACCAATAATTGAGTCCTTCGGGGGGCAGCAGTAGCACTTTCTGCCTGGAGCTGTTGTGGAGAGGGCCGGGGCCAGGCTTCCTCCAGGCCAGCTGTTCTGCATCTTCTGCTGGCAGGGTGTGGGGGTTACAGGAATCCCATGATGATGGAATGGCTAGTGAGCAACCCCTGAAGAGCGTGGCCCTGGCTCACCCCCCACCCCCCACCCCGCAGCCACTCTCCCTGGAAACTCCCAGCACGACCAGATCACTGTAATGAAATAGGTTTGTGAAAAAGGAAATGCAGGTCCATTTTATATTAAAAGTGTAATTAAATAAATAATAAACTTTTAAAGTCACTCACAAGACCAGTTCCCTTGAACAGACACATAGGGGGCGTGTGTCACAGTCACTTTGTTTTTTCCCGGGGAGCAGTCATGTTGTGGAACATGCAGCATTCCTGGTCTCCAAGGAGCAGGAGGCCTCCAGCACTGGAGGGAACCCATGCCTCTGCAGGACCACAACCAGTGCATCGTCCTACAGCAGCATAAAATCCTCAGATTTGAGTAATTGTAGATTTATTTGTCAAGAATGGAGTTTGAGCTGGGCGCCAGTGGCTCACCCCTGTCATCCTAGCTACTCAGGAGACTGAGATCTGAGGATGTGGCTCAAAGCCAGCCCGGACAGGAACATCTGTGAGGTTCTGATCTCCAGTGAACCACCAGAAAACCAGAAGTGGTGCTGGGGCTCAAGTGGTAGAGTACTAGCCTTTAACTGAAGAGCTCAGGGAGAGTGCACAGGTCCTGAGTTCAAGCCACATGTTTGTGTGAATAAAGTTCTTTACAATTGCAGTGAACTTGTTTTGTGCCAATTTGGGGCTTAAGCTCTGAATTTGAGCACTGTCCATGAGCTTTTTTGCTCAAGACACTTTTTTTCCTTTTATTTATTTTTTCCCCTCGCAGTGCACAGCAAGCTTGAGGTCTGGGCCAGATGCCTTTCTAGTCCCTGGAGAAAAAGCATCAGGCCCCCTGGGCTCCTGTGAGGTGTGTTTGCTGCAGTCAGCTAGAGCAGCAGTGATCACTTTGAAATAACACAGTGGCTTACCCTGTGTAATTAGAGTCCCAGAGAAAGAAGGGGGAAGCATGGTTCCTAAACTTGATTCAATGTTTAAATTCACAGATCCAGGAACCATGGCATAGCAGAATGAACACCAGTAAATTGGCTTTAGGGCATAGCATGATCCAACTGGTGACAGCAGTAAAGAACAGAAACCAAACAGATAGACCTCATGCTGCCTGTGGGTCTCAGTATGGACCTTGGAGTCCCCCAAGGAATTCTGGAAGTCACCAACGCCATCCAGCTTGCAAGCATGTCCTCTGAGGGCCAGGCAGCAACTCCCTCTGAAAGAAATGCTCAGCTGACAACTTCCATGTTGGGAAGGGAAAGCAGATGTCTCTCTAGATCAATACTGAAAGAACTCTCTCAGGTTCCCTGCTGAAGGGAAGAGGTGTATTAGAAACTCAGATTCTCACGGGTCAGTCTGGCAAGTAGAGAAGGCTCTTGAGTCTCTTCATAGCTGTCTTTGGTTTTGAGGATACTCACCATGTGATTCAGGTTGGTCTGGAGCTCACAGTCTTCTCTCTCGGCTTCCTGTGTGCTGTGAGAGTGGTACAAACGGTAATTTTAAGATCTAGAGATGCAGAAAAGTAGGGCGTTGAGCAATGGTGAAAGTTTACCATGTTAGGTTCTTGTGAAGGGTCACACATCAAGATAGCACATTATTTGAAAGTGGTAAGTAAAAGAAGACTAAAACCCTATGGTGAGCTTTTTAAAACAATGAAGAGGTATAAACCTTATAAACTTAGGAAGTGAAGTATTCCAAAAGAAGATAAGAAAAGCCAGGCACTGGTGGCTCACGACTATAATCCTAGCTATCAGGAGATCGAGGGTTGCGGTTCAAAGCCAGCCTGGGCAGGAAAATCCATGAGACTTATCTCCAATAAACCACCAGAAAACCGGAAGTGCTGTGGCTCAAGTGGTAGAGCACTCGCCTTGAGCTGAAGAGCTGAGGGACAGCGCCCAGGCCCACAACAGACACAAAAAAAGGAGAAACAGGAATGTGTCAAACTGCTAATGATAATTAAACTTAACCATTTCAATAATTTTATTAACTAAAGATTGAAGTGCTCCAACTAAACTGCAGAGTATCACCCTGGATGAGAAAGCACAGCTAGTTTGTGTACTGTCTACAGAAAATTTCAAGTATAAAACCAAGCTCAAAGTAAAAATTTAAACCCTATGGTCACATGGCTGTAATTCAAGATACTCAGGAAAGCTGATGATTGAGTTTCAAAGCCCTGTTGGGCAGGAAAGACCTAACCACCAAAAATGGAAGTGGAAGTATGGCTCAAGTAATAGAGCAAAACAGCTCAAGGACAGTGCCCGGGCCTGAAAAAAAATGAAAAAAAAAGACATCACAAGTAAAGGAAGCCCAGATCAATTCCATTGTAAGCAAAAGTACTTGACATCATGACACTAACCCTGCTGTACAATCTTTATAATAGCAAAAAAACTCAATTAAGAAAAGGCCGTACAGACTTCCTCAGAGAACTGTTAAGTACTTTTCACTAAACTCCTCAGATTTAACAAAAGTACTTAACAAAAGAGAAGCAGACCGGTCGGGATCTGAAGCTTGTCAGAACTTGAGAGGCGGAGATGGCATCTTGGGTGTGGTTGGACGAGGTCCCTGCTGCTCTCAGGAGCTGGGCACGGGGCTTGCTCTCTTCCTTTGTCCTCTGTCCTGGGACCCCTGAGGTGCTTCCACGGCGGATGCCATCCCCCATCTCTGCTGGCTACAGAGGCAGAAGGAGTCCTTGGGGCTTAGGCCTTTCCCTCCTTCCCCAAAGCAACATCTCACTACCGTGGCCATCACCAGAGAATAAGTTCTATGTGGGGCCGTTTATGCCTGGGCTTGACACTGGGGTGGAGGCAGGAGAGCATGACAAGCCCTGGGCTGGTTTTGTGATTGTCCCTTCTCATGAGGGAAGACCAGTGCTTGTGGGCTACCAATGCAGCAAGACTTGAAGCCAGAAGCTGCGCCTGCACCCTTCCCCCCAGTGGAAGCAGACACGTGGGTTTCAGGGTGGTTGGCCGAGGATTGAGACTTTTCCCAGCGGAAGCCAGCAGGCCACGGCCTCCCTGCCATGGGTGGTAACGGCACAGGCAGTGTGCTGCTTTGGTCTTTTCTCGGGGTGTAGATAGACTCAGCCCTGGGGAGGCGGGCAGGGCCTCTGGGATGAGTGCTGCTCCTGGCTGGTCTCCCACTGTGTTGTCCCTTTCCCGCTAGGTCCCAGGATGCCACAGGTCCTCAGGGCACAGGGGCCACCTTGAATGGGCTTACGCCATAGAAGAGCAGCCCTGCAAGCCACTTGGTTCTCAGACCTCCACATGGTGGACAAGCTGACCCCTGCCCTTATTATTCTGGCTGTTTCTGGAAGGCACTGGCAGTCTGGCCTCATCCCTGTGCTGTCTCCACTACCCGGGTTGCCTCTTGGGAGCTCAGGACCCCCCTGTAAGTCTGCCCCACCCCCACATCCCACAGTCCTCTGTTCTTGGCACCTGGGTCCCTCTCATGGTCTGGTGCGCTTGTCTGCATGCTGGCCAGCTCGTGGGGGCCAGCCCGGACTGGACTTGCTTGGGAGGCTGCGGTCTGTGGTGGAAGGACGCCAAGCCGTGGCGCTGCCTCTTTAAGTGTGGCGACATCACAAGGCTGCGGAAGCATGGAACTCCGTTTCTGTAGGTCTGCGGGCTCTGTGTTTCCACCTCCATGGGGCTGCAGGCCCGCATGTGAGCGGACACCATGGCTGAGGGGAGCGAGCTGATGAACAGGCTCATGAGTGAGAACGCAGACCTGAAGAAGCAGGTGCGCCTCTTGAAGGAGAACCAGATGCTGAAGCGGCTGCTCAGTGAGAGCTGTCAGGAGAGCTGTGGCCGTGGTGGCCGGGACCTCCTCTTCCCCAAGGCCCCCACCTACCCCGAGGCCTGCTCCCCGGGGAGTGGAGGTGAGGTGCAGGCTGGGCCTGCAGAGGGCCGTGGGGTCAGGGGTCACCCACCAACATGAGCCAGGCACCTCCCAGGCCCTTGGCCTCCTTGCCTGGCCTGGGCGTGATCTAGGGGCGCCCTCTGCCTCTTGGGGCAGAGCACACACAGGAGGGGGTGGCAGGGGCTGCCCATTCCAGCCGATTCGGGGTGGGCAGTTAGCGAGGTCTCCGAGTGCCACCACAGGGCCTAGAGTAGCATTGCTGGTCTCAGCTTGGCCCCGCAGTTTGCCCTGCTGGGCAGTCTCTGTTCCTCTGGGACAGGGCCATGGCGTGCTCATCTCACAGGTATGTTCTCCTCGCCCCCCGCCCCCGGCCCCCAGGAAGCCCCATTCCTCTGCTGTGTCCCATCCGGTCCCTTGCCATAGATGGAGTTTACATGGCTCAGCTGGGCTCAGCCGGGAGTCCCCTCCGGAGGGAGGCCCTGAGAATGGCCCTTGGGAGCAAGTGGGTAGGAGAGTACTGTGAGGTTGTGATCCTAAACCACCTATGCTGGTATTTGTATGTTTTATTGTTATTATAAGGGGTTACAATTACCTCCTCAGGTAATGAATACAGACAGCTCTTGACTGGAAAGTGGCTCAGTGGTAGAGTGCTTGCCTTGCATGCATGAGGTCCTGGGTTCCATTCCTCAGCACCACATAAGCAGAAAAAGCCAGAAGTGGCGCTGTGGCTCAAGTGGTATTGTGTTCACCTTGAGCTGAAGAGCTGAGGGACAGCTCCCAGGCCCAGAGTTCAGGCCCCATAACTGACAAAAAAAAAAAAAAAGCAAAGAAAATGAATACAGCTCTTCACTCCAGTTCACCTACGACTTTTTACAGGAAGAAAAGTTTTTTTTTTTTTATCACTTTCAACAAAAGTAGGTGTTTCTGTTGTACAGTTTTTTTGTGAAATTTTCCCTTTTAATAGTATGATTTGGGGCATTCTTGATGGGTGTGACTAGCCTTTGCTTGGGATGGTGGACTAGAGACAAAATTCCCATCGCCATTGCCTGAAAACTCACAGCTCAGTGGGCTTGCATTCCATGTGTATGCATTCAACCCTCCTGGTAGGATCCCCGATGAGGACTGAGCTTCCTAGGCACACTGTGGCACTGGCCAGGCCCACCTGACCACGGGAGGACTCAGGGACCTGCATGCACTTGGTATGACTGCCTCCTGGGGTCCACTTTGGACCCCAGCTGGCTACCGTCCTCTGCGTACCACCAGCACTGGAAGGGTGTTTTGTAACTTCAGCTCTGGGTCCCAGGGTGTGGGGGACCCCTCGTGGCCTCTACCCTGCTGTTCTTCATGGAAAACTCCCAGGAGAGACCTTAGGCAGAGGGAGGGAGGGTAAGGGACAGGCAGTGCTGCTAAGTGGCGAAAAGACTGCAAGACTTTACCCAAAGCATCACCACTGAGTTACCACGTGTGGTCCTGAGGGCCAGCTCCTGGCGCTCCTGACACCACGTATGGTGGCCTGGGGGCCTTGTCCCCAGATCCCAGCTGTTGCTGTTAAGAGGCTCACAGGCCATGTGCTACCTGAGAGGCTGTGGCGCTCAGCCACAGGAGGCCCAGACCTCAAACACAGTCTCAGAAGACACTGTGTCCTGAGCCACAATCCCTACCCAGAGCCCAGAGTCCTAGCTGCCCACACAGGTGTAGGCTGCTGAACCTCCACTGTCCCTGGTTGAATACCATGTCATTTTTCAGTTGGTCTTAAGAGCTCTCCCAGTGCAATCTCTCTATTTCACATCAGTATGCACTGGGAATCGCATCCCACTTCTGCCTTTTTGCTGGTAAAGGGAGATCTAAATCAGGTCCGTTTGTCTGCCCTGGATGGCTCTGTACCTCAGTCCTCAGATCTCAGCCTCGTGGATAGCTAGGATTTCAGGCACCTGGCTCCACAGCCACTGTTAAAGGTTCGTAAAGATCAGCTTGGTGAGTGTGAACCAGAGCCTGGACAGCAACACCAGCAGGGCCCCATGTGCACATGTGCACGGCCTGTACATCACGATCTCTTACTTTGATGGAAGTCTGAGCTCCTCTAGCCTGAGTGTCTGTCTTTCCCCCCTGACCCAGGTCCAGACTTCGGGAGGTTTGCCAGCGTCCCGGACACGCCTGCCCAGCTGCAGACGTCCTCCCTGGAGGACCTGCTGTGCTCCCACGCACCCCTCTCCAGTGAGGACGAGGCCTCTCCCGGCTGCGCGACCTCCTCCCAGGTGTCCTTCAAGGCCTTCCTCAACGCTCCAGAGCTGTGTGCCCGCGGCTCCGACAGGAAGCTGTCCCCGGTTCTGAGTCCCCTGCAGGACCCCCTGGTGGACAAGACCCTGATGGAGCCCAGGGAGATGGCCCGGCCTAAGAAGGTGTGCTTCTCAGAGAGTAGCCTGCCCACGGGGGACAGAACCCGGAGGAGCTACTACCTTAACGGTGGGCCACCCAGGTGCTCTGGGGCTGGACAGGGGTGGTTTGGTGACCTGGTGGATGGGGGCTGGGAGGGGCAAGCCTGGCCAGTGACAGGGGCTAGAAGAGGCGGGCCTGGCCGGGGACGTAGGCTGGACGGGGACTGGACGGGGGCTGGACAGGGTGGGGCTGGCTGGGGATGCAGGCGGGATGGGGCAGGATAGACAGGGGTTGGATAGGGTCGGGGGCTGGATGGGGTGGGGCTGGCCAGGGATGGGGACTGGACGGGGACTGGATGGGGGCTGGACAGGGTGGGGCTGGCTGGGGACTGGGGCTGGCTGGGGCGGGCCTGGCCAAGGATGAGAGCTGGACGGGGTGGGCCTGGTCTGGATGCCGGCTGGATGGGGCAGGCTGGACAGGGGCTGGACAGGGGCTGGCCGAGGGCTGGCCGTGGTGGGCTGTTTGTGGTACGTGGGTGCTGTTGTGTTTGGCTCACTGAGTCGGACTCAGGGACTTGCTGGGCAGGGGCTCTCCTACCTGAACCTCTGGCCAGGCAGGGTCAGGCAGGGTCTGGTGCGGTCAGGGGGTCAGGTGGGATCAGGGGGGTCAGGCGGGGTTAGGGGGTCTAGGGGTCAGACGGGGTTGGGTGGGATCAGGGATCAGGTGGGGTCGGGGGTCGGGTGGGGTCAGGGTCAGGGAGCCAGGTGGGGCCAGGGGGTTGGGAGGGGTCAGGGGTCAGGCGGGGTCAGGGGGTCGCAGGGTCAGGCAAGGTCTGAGTCCCCCCTCCCCCGCAGAGCTCCCCTGCTTCGCGGGCGCGGAGAAGGACGGCCGCATCGTGGGTGAGATCGCCTTCCAGCTGGACCGGCGCATCCTGGCCTACGTGTTCCCGGGCGTCACGCGGCTCTACGGCTTCACCGTCTCCAACATCCCGGAGAAGATCA